CCCCCCCTGAACCCACTAGACCCTACCCCCCCCCCAGAGCCGGGGACGGAACCCAGCATCCTGGCTCCTAGACCGTCCCTGCAGCCAGTAGCCCCAGAGCAGGCCGGCGGGACAGGAAAGGAACCCGTGTCCCGCGTCCAGCAGGCAGCACAAGCCCTCCCTGCTCAGCGGGTGCCGCCCCGCCCGGGGCACGGGCCGTCCCTTCCCCCAGGCTGGCTCACGTCTCTCCCTCTCCTGCTGCCCGCTGTCCTGGCAGGGTTCTGGAGCCCTCCCTTCACGCCCTCGGTCCCAGGCGAGGAGGAGGACATGGGGTCCAGCCCTGAGCCCGCCAGTCCCCCGGAGGTGAGCAGCCCGGTCTTCTCCATCCGGGTGACGTCCGAGGACGGGGCGCTGTGCGTCATCAACCCTCTGTTCCTGTCGGAGCACAGCAGCGTGGGCGGGCTGCCCGGGGCACCCCCCGCCTGCCACCTGCCCGAGGGCGGGCGCCTGGGCTGCTCCCCCCCATGGCAGGCCCCTCGGGGGGTGGGGGAGGGGAATTGCCCTGTGGTCAGGACCAAGGGCGGGAGGTGTAAATTCCTCACCCTAGACTCCCCCCCGCAGCCAGCTAGGCCTGGAGGCAGCTGCTCCCTCTTGCAGAAGCCTTTTAGTAGGTTGTTCTCCTCCCACGAGGCGGGCAGATGGCCTCCCCAGAGTGCTCCCCCCCATGGCAGGCCCCTCGGGGGGTGGGGGAGGGGAATTGCCCTGTGGTCAGGACCAAGGGCGGGAGGTGTAAATTCCTCACCCTAGACTCCCCCCCGCAGCCAGCTAGGCCTGGAGGCAGCTGCTCCCTCTTGCAGAAGCCTTTTAGTAGGTTGTTCTCCTCCCACGAGGCGGGCAGATGGCCTCCCCAGAGAATCCCACCCTCTAAGGGGAAGGCGGGACACCCCTCACCCCTCTCGCCTCGCCCCCAGCAGGCGACGCCGCGCCGGCCTTGCTGAAACGGAAGCTGCTGCTGCGCCGCCCGGCCTGGAAC